CCTGACAAGTCCTTCCTTAAAACAGAGTCAGTGACATTGACCTTGTTGTCCTATATATGCACTCAATTTCTGGCTCATAACAACTGTTTAGTGAGTGCACATTCCTCCCCTGTCTCCTACCTGCCCTTATGACATATTAGAATTCTACCCATCTGCTGGCTTGCTTCTGGGGTGGCCTGCCCTCAGCCCATTTTTAGATCAGCCAATGGGACCATGACTAGCCAGAGCCATTTTTCATCCAATTGGTCTCCTTCCAACAGTTTCATATGGCCTCTTGCTGTAAATCACTCTGAGAAAATAAATGTCCCCAATCCATTAGTGACTTTCCGCCACAAGCCAATTTGAGCCACAAACTAGACAAGGCTTGTTAATGGCCACTTAAATACATTCCTGCAGCTCAACCTGGGACACCTTCAACCAGCCTCAGACCTTACCAGCTCCTTTTCAAAAGACACGTTGGCAACAAGGTCATAGGTCATCGGACCCTTATCAGGTAGGAGAGCAACATACCCTTGTTTGTCTAGGATCCTTCCAATTTGGCCCTGCTATCCCAGCATAATTGCCAATCATTTCACTTTCAAAACTATTCTAGCTTGAATAATAAGACTCCATAGGTAGTGATGTAAGGGTAATCAAAAACAATAAGCATTTATTAGCCATTGATTATATATAAAGGGCTTGTGTGTTTGACCTCATTTCAACTACAGTACAGTACTAGTCAAGGAGGCGTCACAATCATCCCCATTATACAAACCAGTCCTCTGTTTAGGTTTAGGGTAGCTAATCAGCAATGCCAACCAAGGAGTGAGATTGTGCTTCATCTAGAACCCTCATGGCTATTCATAATTTCCTGGAGAACTGTGCTCCATTGTATGAGAACCTCTGCTTAAGAGAGCCCACGCTCCCATTAGCAGCCCAGCCAGTGGCCAAAAGGCCTTACCATGTTTCTTACTCTTGGGAGGAACCGACTCTGCAGAGGGATCCAACAGAGACCATAGCCTGTTAACTCTCTCTGCCCTGGCCTGTTTGCTTTTCCCTCTTTGCCCTGAAAGGTCTTCCCCAGAAAACTGCTTGTAAAAGACTCTGTACTAGTCTCTGGTTCCAAAAAGCCTGGTCCATGGTATCCAGTTAGCAAAGAAGGAGCTGAGCTAGAACTCAGGTTTGGTTCTCTGGTACCACAAGGATCATTGTACCATCCATATTTTGCAGATGAATCCTAGGAAGCTTGGAGAAAGTGAGACAAGCTCACCAAGGACACAGAAGGAGGAGTAGAAGCTTAAGCATATACTCAGGTCCACCTGTCTTCAAAGGACACACACATACACACTCACACATACTCCCCACACACATACAGACTCTCTCTCTCTCTCTTTCCTTCTCTCTCCTCTCTCTCTCCCCCTCTCACTCACACACACTTATACACACACTCACACATACTCATACACTCCTCACACACATACCCACAGACTCTCTCTCTCTCTTCTCTTTCCTCTCTCTGTCTCTCTCTCTCTCACACACACACATACTCATATACACACACATACTCACAACTCTCTCTCTCTCTCTCTCTCTCTCTCTCTCTCTCTCTCTCTCTCTCACACACACACACACACACACACACACACACACACACCTCTCTCTCTCTCTCTCTCTCTCTCTCTCTCTCTCTCTCTCTCTCTCTCTCACACACACACACACACACACACACACACACAACATTCATACACACACTCATTTGCTGTTTGGGCACTTAAACCTACTGCTACATACCCATTCCATGCAAAATTTGTGAAATGGGTCTCCCGTCAGCTGACATTTTTTTAGAGGGCAGAACGCTCTGTCCTTCCAATGCTACAGCAACAAGCAGTGGCTCTTTCTAAGCTGCACTTGAACATATCTTTAATTTCCAGAAAACCCAACAATATTGCTCTGGGAGTAGTCAAAAAGTGTCCCCTTAGTCGCACATAAGAAGAACAATGGACCCATATGTATTAAACAAAGGAAACAGCTGTAGATGACATGGTCTAGAGAGGCAAAGCACATCTCCTGAGGTATTTCTGAGGTCCACTAAAACAGAATAAAAAGGGGAAGTGCAGAAGCCCCAAGGACACACAAACACAGATCCTGACTACTTACTGTTTGTGTGATACTTTTGACAAATCACCCAATGTCCCCAATACCCAATTTGTTCTGTACGAACAATACCTGCCCAACCAATCAGCGAATTAGAGGGTAAATGAGATAAAAACAAGCCTTTCTTCCTGTTCTTTTTTATCTACTTTTATAATTATGGACTCACCAACTTGAACCCTTGTCCCAGGTCTAAATAGTACCAGCTCAGATGTGCTGTGTTTTGTTTCCAAGCAAAAAGAACATCCTATTTGATGACAAAAAGGTTTCCATTAAAAACTGAAAGCAGATGAAAGGGGGACCTTCAGCCACAAGGCCTCAGTTGATTCATAAAAACATGGAATGAGTCATGTTGCTCTCAAGGCTGAAACTTATAATCAATGGGCCTCGCTAGCCAGCCAATCCCAGCCCAGCGGAGGATGACAGGCCCAGCAGGCCATCTCCACTAGCTATTCCAGGGTGGCCTTGCAAACTGATTAATTCTGCTTCTGGCTTGGTGAAAGGGGAAAAAAAAATCAATCTGGTGCTCTTTGCCATACTATGGTCTAAGTCCAGACCAGGTCTGTGTGGCTTTCTGAAGAAGCAGGGCTTCTGTAGTTGTGTGAATGTGTGTGCTCATGTGTGTGTGTACCTGCATGCAACTGTGCATGTGTTCATATGTGTGCATGCATGTGTGTATACATATGTGTAAATGTGCATGTGTTCGTGTGTGTGCATATGTGCTTGCGTGTGGTGTGTGAGCACGCATGTGTGTATACATATGTGTAAACGTGCATGTGTGCATGCATGTGTATGCATATGTGCATGCATGTGTGAATGTGTACATGTGTGTGGCTCAATTCAAGAGCAGATTTGTCTGTCTGTCTCTAAAAATCACTTCTGGCTTTCATCTTGAGATTACTTCAAAAATGTCCCTTCTCCTGCAGGCATTTCCTTGTATTGAGCACAGGGCTAGTGAATGCAGAAGGCGGGGGAACACAGACTTACTCAGACTGCAGCCAAAGCTCTTTCCTTGAATTTGTGGCCCTAACTGTTACTCTCTTCATAGATCTTTGAATCCTAGTCCTCAATCTTCAGTGTGAATGAAAGTTCCTAAATCACACACACACACACACACACACACACACACACACACACACTTATGTATAAATGTGTGTGCATAGGTGCATAATGTTTTTGATGAGGTCATTAAGGAAGAGGAGTTATTCACACATGGTTTAACTACACTAGGTAGGTGGTCTTCCATCAACGATAAAAGAAAAATGATGACCCCCACAACCCTCCTCCAATCTACCCCCTCAATTCATTTACCATCCACCACCACTTACTTAGAAAATGCACTGTGACAACTCTGCTGGATGCTGCTCATTTGTTGGTGAAAGAGGCAGGTAAAGCCTCTGCCTGCTGGGATCAATCACCTTGGCCTCCCAAGAGTTAATGGAAAGAACTGCACAAGATCCCCAGACTGTCTGGAAGCTTCTCTTTCCCTGAATTCCTCCCCTCACCCGAGAAACCTCCAAACCGTGTTTAAAGCCAAGCAGGACCAGTTTCATGTATGAAGAGCTAATCATTGCTCAGTTGCCTCCTAATCTGACAAATAAAGCCTGCCTGCTGGCAAGGTGGTGAAGGGGCCAAAGGGAGGGCTTTGCCTTTTTCTTGCCCTTAGATCGGTTGGCAGATCCCGGCCTTCTTTCCAGATCAGACCCTAGGGAGATTTGAGTAGGCTGCTGTTTCTATGAAGTAGGAACCCCAGGGTCTTAGGAAACCCAGCCAACAGCCCTTGTAAGATTCGTGGTTAGTATAGGAAGCTGAGCGCAGTGAGCAGTTCCGGAAGTCCCCACTCCACTTGACTTCAGGGGCATGGTGGTATAGTGCCCCCAAGTGTGCAAGCTTTCACACTTGCTCACTACAAGGAATCTCAGCTGGTCTAGGCACATCTGCCCAGGAGGAACTGGAATAGAGGGTCTCTTAGAGTGTGGGCTCTTTCTGAGAGCAGCTCAGGAGTACCTAAAGAACGCGGTCCGGTTTTCCAAGCCACGGGGGGTCGTGGGGGGGGGCAGAAGATGCAGTACGGGTCTGGAGGAGGGTTGGGGGGTGGGGGTAGGTAGACGGCGGCGGCATCCCTGATCTCACCTTCCACCTAGCTTAGAGACTGGTTAAGGCTCTTGCTTCTCAGTTGCTTTCCTCATTTAAGTCTGGGGAAAGAAACGGACATGGGGTGGGGGTGGGGGCACGCAGCCCTGCACACTGTCCTCAGCCCCAACGGGATGCATCGAGGTGAAAAAAGAGATCAAGTGTCAAGTCCCAGCCAGGTCACTTAGTGGCAGCAGAGTGTTATTGGCAGGTCACTCATTCCCTCTGAGTCTCCGGTTTTTCACCTCTAAAGCTGGGTACCTGACTTACTGGGTCTCAGGAAGTATTAAATGGGATCGCATATGTAAAACTCCAAAAAAAAAAAAAAAAAAAAACCCACCGGGAAGAGTACAAATACGGCGACTGCTATTTTTTTTTTAAACCACACGAACGATTAATTCCCACCCTTACGTCCCTCCCAGTGTTGCAGCTGAGTTGTCCTGCAAAAGGGGTACAACGCAATCTTCCAGGACTTCAAGTCCTGGGAGCCACTATCCTTCCTGTCACCGTACATCTGATGTGGGGAGAAGGGCCACCTCTGAGCATACTCCCCAGGCTCCACTGGCTTGGGCTGGGGGTGGGGGAGCACTGAAAGCCAAGTGTGGATGTAGAGAGGGCGCCCACTGCCTGTGGGTACTGGGTACCTGGGCAGGATCCCCAACCTACATTCTCCCACCCACTCCCGGAGCTCCCAGCGCGCAAAAGAGAGAAAACCCAAAAAGTCGTAGATACTGGACCAGGCTTTGACGCGAATCTTGAGCTCGCCGTCCTGTGGCTCCGGCATGGCCTTTCTGGAGAGCCTCAGCTTGTTGAGCCCGCCGAAGCCGGCCAACACCACAGCGCGCATCTCCTGGGCATCCCCGAGGCGGTGGGAGCTGTCGCCGCCCTCAGCAGGCTCCTTGCTGGTCTCCTTCTCGATCATCTGCTCCGTCTCCTCCGCCTTCTCTACGCCTTCCTTGGCCATGGCGCGTGAGGGGCCTCGGGGCGCACAGGCTGCGGCTGTGAGGGGGGTCGCGGCTTCTCTCCCTCAGGTTCCTCCTGTTGAATGTGGGATGCTCTTCAGCGCAATGGCTGCAACCTCTGTGAGAGGAGCCGCGGTCCGCCGCCTCCGCCGTAATCCTCAGAGGAGCCGCGCCCTCGCGCCCCACCTCACGCCCTCACATTTCCTTCTGCTCCAAACCAAACCTCAAGTCCAGCTTTTGTGCGGGTCCCAAATCAGGCTCTTGGTCGCAACCTTCAAAATGGATTTCCCCCAAGACTCTTGAACAAAACACACCAGAAGCGGCTGCCTGGACACCCCCAACCCCTGGAGTGGGCTCAATACTTGGGTATATACGGCACAGACTCTGGCGCCTTGAAAAGGACAGAGATGAATGTCTGGGCCTGGAGGATGCTGCTGCGAGGCAAGGTTGCCTCTCCTGCGGGTAGGCAGCAGTAGGCGGGATAGCCGGGAAATTGGTTTGTTTACCATCTGCTGGTTTTGAGTGGAACGGCAGGGAGGTGCGGGAAGTTAGAGGTCCATCCCAACCAGGGCTCTGAAAAGCCGGGACCCGTCTTTAACATCTGGACCCCGTGTCATGCGGGATGCTCTTCCTGAACTTCTCCTGAGGCTTCCTTATGATAGTTCTTATGACCTATGCTTTTTTTTTTTTTTTTTTTTTTTTTTTTTTTTTTTTTTTTTTTTTTTTTTTTTTTTTTTTTT